TATAACATTTTTCTCAATATTTATCATGAGGAATACTTTTGACATTTTCTTATCTTATGTTTACTTTGGTGAGTTTATCTGTAAACAGCTTTCGCCCGCGACTGGTCCGCGTGGAATTAAATAAAAAAACAAAAGTGAGTAGCCTATGCGTTCTTCCAGACTACCCTCTACATCTATACCAAATTTCATCTAAATCTGATTTAAATCTGTTAAGCCGTTTAGGCTACAAACTCTAACAAACATCCATCCATCTAATCTTTCGTATTTATAATATTAATATGATATATAAATTATCTGTAATAACTATCTGTGATAATGTAGACTAAAATAACCTTTAAACAACTTAAAAATCATTATAAAGAGAACAGATTTGTACTTTTGAATCTATTGAAATAGCTCAAAAATTACTAAGTCAATTTCAAAAATTCTTTCACCATTAAAAAGCTGCGATAGCGCTTAGTAACATAGGCTTTTTTATATTTCACGTGGACGAAGTCGCTAGTACAATAAACATCATACTAAAATATTACTAACAGAGTAATTTAGTTTTCTAACTGAAATCTCAGTTAAAGAAAACTAGTTAATAGAAAACTAAATTACTTCTATCTTTCAATTCCTCACTTTCAATATAAAACGTCTAAAGGCTGTCATAAACATCTTACTGTAGAATGATTAAGTAATACCTTTCAATTCAGTGATATTGAAATTATGGAATAGATGTCATAAACCTATAATATAATATTTCTACGACCGTTTTAATTTCAATCATTAATTATTTCAAATTTAACATGACGCATTCATTTTCAACTAGCTGTTCCCGTGCGGCTTCATCCGCAAAAAACTTAAACTTTATTTTATTGTTTACCAATAGCCTAATGGTTAGGGATACGGACTACCGATCTTGAGGTCGAGGGTTCGAATCACGCCATTCGACTATTGTTGTGAACCATATCCTTAGAAGCCTAGAGCTTAGTAGGAATGGTTAAAGGAAATATTAGTAGATTAACAAACATCTATTAATATTTTTATTTATAAAAAATGTCAAATTCTCAATTGCAAATGTCAAAATTACTGTTATCATAACCTTGCTTCCATAATGTTGGCTACCTTGTATTTATGGTACCTTTCCCACATGAAGGATTTTTTAATGTATTTACCCCCTATGTAAAGCGTGTCGAGGGTGTAGAGCTTTTTATTAAAGAAGGAATTATTCAAAATAGCGCTGCGATTGCTGACATCCTACGCCACGAACTAGTGTATACTACGCTTTATTATATTAAGTATAGAAATAGATAAATAGAAAAGCTATTTAAAAATGTCGATAAAAAATTTGAATCGTTTTATGAAACCAATAAATGATATTGCAGGAATATTTTTTAATTAAATTGATTGAAAAAAGTTACCCACAAAGTGATTCAATTATGCAACTAACGTAGCGTGATGAAATAAAACTGCATTTTTCATACTTCAAAATTCGTATATCAGTTAATATGCAAAATTTTTGAACGCTAAAATATTCAGTTATGACGCTAATATCACACGAAACGAAAAAAAAAATAGTAATTTGAAGCCTTCCGCAGTATATTTCTGCATCAAAAATATGCGCTTTATACTTTTGTAATTAGGAAAACAAACAGCGCTTTTAAAGTTGCGCTTTTTTAATTTCTATCCAACTTATACATTTTGTTACGAAAATCTTTTCGGTTTTATTGTTTGTAAAATGTTAAAATTTATGTTCCGCAACATTACTACTTTTTATCTATCCAAATAAGTGTTTTGTGAATTTTTGAACTTCAACCATTTTAAATAAAAATAAAACTAGTAATATATGAGAAACATCTCTACAAAATCTCCATTATAAGGGAATCGGAAGTTAAGTATAGACAAAATTACCCTTGAATTTATAAATAATATATTTAAGTATATTTGCAAATATTACGTTCAAACATAAATAAGCAATACGTATAAAATTGATTAAAAGCAAAGCTATTAAAAAATCTCATATTCAGAGCCGACAGAGTGTAAAAGCAATTTCAAAAAGTCCATAAGCTATTTATTTTTTCACCCATATGTTAATCAAGGCATGTATTACAAAGTGGATTTTATCCGGAGCTTTGGCTTTACACGCTTTAATATAACAACCGACAGCTTAGTGCCTAAATAGTCCGCATGCAAAATACAAAATATACAAGCTTAACTATCATACTAATACTCGTATTATAAATGCGAAAGTTTAAATGGATGTTTCTTAAAGTTTGTAGCCTAAACCGCGGAACGGATCTCGATGAAATTTGGTAGTATTAAAATGTTATAATTTGTGACACGTATAAGTGTCATTACTCGAGTAGCAGAAAATGTTTACGTAGATGTCTGTACGTGCCTTTTTGCCTTTCACATTTCGTGTACTAAAACTGGATTTTGACAGATAAGGTTACATTGGAATTTGTATTCTTCTTTGAAGTCATAAGTTTGGTGTCAATGTTTCTTAGTTATTAGAGACCGAACCGGTGTTAGGGTAGGTCGGTTGGGGAGCGCCCAGGGCGCTACGCTTGCTACTAACTACCAGTATCATGTGACATTATTAACCACCTCAAATACATACATGGTAAAAAGTGGGCACACTGAAATCCCGCCCAGGGCGGTAGTGGTAGAGCCAGCACTGATTAGAGATATTTATTATCTAAACTATTAACTAGTTCTATAAGTAGTGAATAACACTTTACAGCGCCATCTTTCGTAACTATCAGTACCTACTTAATTACAATCGGCTTCGGTCTCAGGGGATACAATATGTTAACGTGACTTGAAATTGCTTTTGAGAATTTATTGTTACTGTCTACTCGCAGCTCGCAATGCGCAACTTACGGAATAATATCCAAAATCGAATTTAATTTTGCATTCTATTACAAACACGAATTACTTTTGTATTTAGTAACCACTATTTTTATAAACCCAATCTGATAGCGTCACTAGATGGAGATTTATTACCTTTTAGTTGACCTCAAACAATGCCTTATGAAGTGTTGCATTAACATTTATATTTTTTTTAGTAAATACTGGTTGTTACGAATTAATTAAAAGAACTGTGTTAATGGAATGTTTATTAATGTACTCGTATGTACCAAAACTTAATTAAACCAAATAATGTTTTGGTAAGTTAGTTAAATAACTAAATAGTAAAGAGAACTCTTTTTTTTTTTTTTTTTA